TTGATACAAATACGTTCCAAACCTTATCGAAAACTCTTTCAACTACAAGTCTCAAACAGAAAAAAAGATATCTGGACATTGAGGGTTTGGATTGCATAGTTATACTATAATATTTTCAAATAACTACCAAATTAGGTTTAGAATTAGTTTAATCATAAAATATGCTATACAAAAAATAATAATTTCCTACAGATGTTTGAATTTAATAAGACCAATAAACATCTTTGTCTGCTGTTTCGGCCTACTCAACCTGGTTTTGATCACTCAAACATCACAACGCAATACAATCTTTGTACTTGGTCGCAATACGCTTGACTGCGGGAACAGCTTGTCCATAAGCAGCTGACATAAATCAAAATTACAAAAAGCTGGATACCAGAAATGATTCAAATAATCAACATTACCAATTGATGCTACCAACTGGCATTATTTATATGTATATATCTTTAAACAAAATCAAAAGATAAAAGAAAACGGGAAATTCAGGACCCATTGGAAATTGAATAATCAACTAACTCGAAAAAATATATCATATTTATATATAAAAAAAAGACGAAAAAAAGAATAAACTTAAAATATTTAGTTAAATTGATATATAGAATTAGCCTCATTAAATACAACATTATATTATTTTATATCATTAAGCATATTGCAAATATTAGAAATATTAGATACAAAAACAATACAGGCACTATATCTGCTAGAAATGTTTATTTCAAATAGTCAACGGTGAATCAGGTGTGAACATCGTACAGTCACAAAATCCACAACATCTATAGTTGTAAACTCTGCCAATAATTTGGGTTCATAATTTTCTACCTTATTGTCGAAAATCAGATTTGATGAACCCGACATTCTGCTACCAGATCTGATGTTGCTGAAAACAAAGAAGATTATAACAAGCTGTAGTTTTTAAAATTCTGTTTGAAACCATACTTCAATACTTCCATACTACTCTGGATTTAAACCCATCCGAATATCACGTTGGAGGAACTGGGTGGGTCAGATTTGTCTGAAGACAAGACGGCATAACCAGTGGCGTATCTATATCTACGTGGAGTTCTTGCTCGGCTTTGGCGAACTTTAACGTTTTTAAGCATTTAGTTCATAAATAACCGATACTTGGAAACCTTGACTATTTGGAAAGAATATGATGACCATTATTTGACAGTGGATCTCAGAAATGGAAATGAAAATGAAATTGTAATTGTATATCCATGATACCTCAGATAGAATAAATATTGTCTGCTAATAGAATATGAATTCGATTTTCCTTGGTGATATTATATCAAATTGTTTTGGACATGTTAATTAAACTTTTATACTTACTCTTTTCATCTATGAAACTAGTGACTTTATCATTGTCACATGTACTTCTCGTTTGATTCTAAAATATTATTGAAATATTGTTTATATATGCTAAGAAAACATAAGAGGTGGACACGCTACTTATGGAGAGCGCCTATGGATGCCAGTTTGCTACGTTGTCCTAATGTGCTTACAGTTAGAATATGCTTACATGTTGACCTAGTTTTGTTTTTTAGCACAGTTACTTCCCTTGAGACTTGAAATTTTGCTCTGCAAAATCAGTTTCTAGTGGTGTTATAAGATTCAGCTTACCGACTGTGTAACTGATTTTGTCCCTGCACCAGTATCAATAGATTTAGCTCTATATCTCTTTCTCTTAATCTTTAAAGCTTCTTTCACCTAGAAATACATAATTTATCGACTCGTCCATGTAAAACACATTATCAATGAATGATTCTGGTTTGTTATCTATGGTCTTAACTCCAAATGTATATATTTGATAAATCAGTGGTTCAGGGAAATGAACAATTACATTGATTGAAAGAATTGGCACTTCCTCAAATCCAATTTGAAAAATTTTCAGATCTTTTGATTGATTAATTCATCGTTTAAAAATCCAACTCAATCGGAAAAGTGGGTGTCGAGATACCAGAATAGGTAAAAAACAATATACGATAGACCTACCAAAGGAAGTAAAGATATAATTTACCTGTCTGTTCAAAAAACAGTGGAAAATAAAAATAAACAATCCCTGAAAAAAATAATCACATTGAACCATTTTACTACTGTATTAAAAATCGCGTCTACTCGTTCGGATGGGACAATAAACCAAGGCACTGCAGGCTGTGTACTATAAAGATCCATTGGCTAATGCCGCTGTCCTGGCAAAATTTCCTCATAATAAACCGACAGTAGTGCCTTTTCATACGACCTGTTAAAATGTATTATAACAATATGTTTTTTTCAGTAATTCATTCTGATATTCTCATAATCTTTTCACAAAATAGATTTAGATTTACCTGAAGGGAATTAAAGAGGGCAAATAAATACTGAAAGATAACAGTATAACCATTGACAGAAAATACACCAAATATCCAGGTTAATCCAGTTATTGGTAGTAATACAGACAGTGCCTTTAATCCAGTTCTAAAATAGATGTTAATGTGTTAAAAAATTGCATGTTCCATATGACGCAAATACACTGATCAAAGCCCATCAGAGTAAACAGTCTATGGGAATACAACACAAGATCAGCCTTCTGGAAAATACCCAAACGCTAATTGTGTCAGACGCAATAGGGCTGATGTTTTCTCAAACACTCCTTGATATTTTTGCCACCATTCTAGTTCAGGTACTAGTAACTAACATACCTTCCCTTTTCTTTCATATTTTTAGTCATCATAGTAGTTGTACTAAACATAACTGTTAATACTTTAATCATTATCATCGCATTTACCGAGAATAACGATGTGTATATATTTTGACATTAGGAAGAAGGTTTCGAAATTAGGTCTCAAATTCTGATTCGATTATTTTGAAAAACCAAATTACGGCCATCAGTTTGTATCGATCTATCGAAATCTTCTTCTGGGGTATAGTTAAGTTTTGTAATGTATACATTATGCATGACAACATCTAAAGATGACTATGATCTATATCAGACTAGCCAAAATAACAGCTAAAGATTACTAAGATTATACTTGCCAAAATAACAGCTAAAGATTGATAAGATTATACTAACCAAAATAAAAGATTAATAATATTATACTTGCCAAAATAACAGCTAAAGATTAATAAGATTATAGCCTACTTTCCAATATAACAGCTAAAGATTACTAATAATATACTTACCAATATAACAGCTAAAGATTACTAAGATTATACTTACCAAAATAACAGTTAAAGATTACTAAGATTATACTTACCAAAATATCAGCTAAAGATTACTAAGATTATATTTACCAAAATATCAGCTAAAGATTACTAAGATTATACTTACCAAAATATCAGCTAAAGATTATTAAGATTATACTTGCAAAATAACAGCTAAAGATTACTAATAATACACTTACTAAAATAACAGCTAACGCAGGTCCTATAAATGCCCACAATAATCCAGATTCTAACGACAACCAACAACTTTGAAAAAAAATACAAACGTTAACAAAATTATTTGGAAGTAAAGCAGTGCTCTTTGACTCTACGGCAGATAAAAACAATGCATTTTACTCGTACGTGTATAATAAAGATCATTGCTCAGAACCAAAGATATGCTCACCACAGGAATTTTTTTTTACTAAATTTTGTGCATGTTTGGTTGAAGCCGGTTATGAAATTTGCTTTGCAAGGACTGTTTCGCGCAAAGTTTTCTAGTGCGCAGAAAATATTTTTAAACTTACTAATCCTCATTCCCATAACCTTCTAATTGGGTGGCAGCTACTGATATAACAACTATTATTACTGGTACACCTGTAATGATACAACATATCATTTAAGTGATACTACGTCTTAGAATGAACATAAAACTTAAGTTCTCAAGAATGGTCAATATTCATCAGTAAACTTACCTGGTGTCATAAAGTTACAACAGAATCCCTCTAAAATCTGTAATATTGGAAAATTCATAAAACTAAGTAACTATTGAAAAAACGCTTAATCTTAATATTAAGCGTTTTTCAATAGTTAATTGCATATTTATGGATTTATCGGATTATGTAAGGACCCTGTTATGTTATTTATGACACCATGTATATATCTACTGATGAATATATGCTCTTATTGGCCAAGTTTAAAATTCTTAAATTTTTAGTCATTCTAAGACGTCTAAATCAAGTTTTGTCAATGTAAATCCAAATCCTGACGTATTTTACTATATTTGTACCCAGTCAGATATTCAGGTATTTAAAACAATGCACTTCACATTACATAAAACAAAGAGCTCTTACCCCAACTTGCAGTTAGTATCCACTTTAATCGAGATGTCATAGCCAAGGCAACAACAGAAATCAAAACTTGTACACCTTCTGCTAACATCAAGAAAAACACCACCAGAAAGAAGAAATGGAGTAATACAGCCACTGTCTGACAAAAAGGCTAAAAAGCAGAATTGTAAGAGATTAAAATATCCAAAATCCATGAAATGTGTTTTGAAATGTCAATGAAATTCTACTTGCCAACTTGCAGTTTCTAGTAACATGGTACATGCGCGGGCTCGAACCAAAGCGCTTCAGGATTTTAAGAAAAATTTCATTGAGTTGTATCATGAACTGCCTGATTCAAATGTATAAAAACTGGACATGTTTAGCGTGGCAAATAGACACTACCATCTGACAAGAACGCCAATGGCATTGAAAGCGAGAGCAGAAGTTAGAGTAAGATTGACATCTATCCATTACAGATGCTTAAAATTGTATAATCGAATCGAGACCTGGTTTCGGAAATAAATTTACCTTTATATCTGTTCTGTTAACACCAACGAGAAATATAATATAAGCTATAATCAACGTAACACACAGATTCAGTAGTATAATAGCTTTATCACTCTTTACATATCTACAATTTGTACAAAAAAATATAATATGAAACACTATAACATCTTGATTATTACCCAAAATATTATTTTCGAAACCTTAATTAAAATACAGGCGGAGTTGACAAGTCAAATTATACCCAAGATTTAAGGTGGATGTTAAATACCTAACAATCTTAAAGATGTATTTTAAGTGCTAAATATCCAAACTATTTGATTTTCGTTGGATCAGGACATGGCCTCCATCAAATCTAATTTGGTAAAACAATCCGATTGCACTACTGGAAGAAAAAATTATTTTGACTGCGACAAAGAAAAAGCAGCGTTTGGTGTATTTTCGTTTAGAAAACTTTGATAGTAAGAAAATATACCAGAAAACTTAAAATCAAGTTCAGTACCTCCAGAAGTATATATATACTACAACAGTCAACAGAAGACAAAACATTGAAATGGCACATCCAATAGCTGAAATGATACTTAGAGCTTCTCTGTGTTTTATTGGCTAAAATATAATCAATTAAGTCGAAAACACATTTTCAGTGAATATTTAGTAAATTAATCTACGTCCAAACCTTTTGTTATACTTTAAAGTAAGATGTATATTGAAACTAATAATGAATACACTTTGGGGGAAATTCCAAAAGAATTCACTGTAAAATTTGAATTTAACTTATCGCACCCTGTAAAAGCAGATATCTTCTACAAATGCACATAACACATATAGTGTAAAGTTATTTTATTTTAATAATCTCACCGTTTTACCAAGGCTCATCAGTATAGCAAAGTTAGTTAAGTGATCACATTTACAGATGGTAACATTAGGATTTGATGTGGGTTCTGTCTTACAACCTTCAGTTGACCACCGTCCTCTCTTATCATATCTATATTTCAATATTTAATCGAGGTAGTAACTATTTTTCCTCATATTGATAAGGGTGATTAAAAGCTATATTTTAAAATACTTATTTTTGTCTGCTTGAAGCTTAGACGAATCGAAAATTGAAAATAATACGTGACAAAGATGTAAAGCAAATGCATTTTCTGGTTCTTGACCTAAAATGACTTGACAGTGTTAAAAGCAAAGACTCTAATTTTGTTTCCGCTGGGAGATTATCTCACAACGTTTGAAATTTTAAAACTCTTCCATACATATAAAAAAACAAAAACATTAAAAATATATAAATTTTTTTTCGATCAGAGTAGCAAACAACTTACGGTGGCTTCAAATCCAGAAAAACACAAGAGGTTGAAGGATAATCATCCTGGAAATTGAGAAAAAAAAACAATCAATCTGAATCAATAAATCGAACTGTATCTTTACAATCCTGTTTCTGTCACTAAATTTCACACTTCTGGGAGCATAAAATAGTTCAGCTCTTAAGGTTTTCTTTGTCAGTTGATAAATCTCATTTACAGCATTCCTCATTATTTTTCAGAATAAAAAATAGTTTTACGCTTCGTCTTTATGAACGAATTGCGTTAACCAGCTGTCGTGATGACAAGTTATATTTAGGTTTTCACTTTAACAGACCTTGAATATCTAAATAGAAAGACATCTAATAATCGTTTAAACTAACGTTGTTTACATGGTAAGTTTCCAATCTTAAAAGTTGAGGGAAGTTCTATCAACCCTTCAACTGAATATTTGTTGCATCTTTGTATGTAGATATAGATACAATAATTATTCCAAATCTGTATGCTTGTAAACACTTACTGATAAATGTTGAAAACTAAGTTCTATTGGTGGATCTAGCTTTTTCGGTGGTGGATATACTGAAACGGCTAATATTTTACTGTTAATCTCTACTTCGGTTTCATTGCTTTTACTGTCAATGCTCTCTCTGAAAAACACAAATAATCATATTCAAAGTGCCTCAAACCTAGTTTAAACACACCTCACAAAATCCCTTTTTCTTTTTACGTCTGTTATTTAGCACACTTTTACATACAATATGATTAAATCAATATAATAATTATGCAGCCTATATGTTATTATCTTCAAGTTATGAGTATGTTCTTACTTTTTTTAGAAATGGTTACGAGGCAAAATGTTCTGGGGGTTGGCATTAAAATGATTATACAACTTACCCTGGACTAAGAATCCTGCCTTCAACTATTTTAGATATATCATTATAGAATACTGCATTATAACGAATATCTTTTATATCTGCAAAATAAATGAAGTTGTACACATCCTAGATTTCCAAACCACCACATGGTATGTAATGAGACACGACATTGACAGAAAAACGGTATCAGCCTTCTCTCGTTATATCTATATATATATATATCTACATATATTTGATTTTGAATATTTTGAAAAGACTTGGAAATATCAAAAATAAATTGAAAACAT